TAAGATTTAACAAGCAGCAAACAAATTATTCAGTCGTAATAATAAAAAATTATATGATATCTAGTTACTAAGTAAAAAATATATAATAAAAATTTTGTAACAATTAAAATAACGAATAATATATATAATAAAAATAATAAAAATTCTAGATTATAATTTATAATTTCTAAATTTCTAAATTTCTCCCCGACCAAATATCATACAGATATGAAATTCCATACATTGAATCATTGATTTTATTTTTGAGATGATTAACTTAAGATTGAAAGCGTTAGTTCACAAACAATCTAAAGCTCTTAACAATACGACTAACTCGCAATCAGAACATTTATTGCACGAATTCTTGGACTTAATTCTTATTATTATTTGTTTTTGTTCCTATAATCACATTTCTCAACATCAAATGGTAAGCCACTTATTTTCATTAGTATTTATAAATTGCCAATAACACGGCACCTTTTCACATTGTTTCCAGAAATGAATTGTGTAAGATTGCAATGAATTTCATGCACCTCACTTAGGATCTTTCAATTCTTTAGTGGCTGTTATTGATGCATGAGTGATGTCTAATACTTTTGAAGATCTGTATTAACGCTGATGATGACTCTAAAAAAGAAACGTTCGTTTTTTATGGAAATACATGCTATCAAGATCTGTATTGGTTAAAATTATTTTTTGATTACGCTCCAACAACTGCGTTATATCCTTATCTGCCCGATTTATCAGGATTTTGAATCATTCAGTTTATGGAGTACTCCATACCAACCATACTGGAGTCGCCGCCCATGATTAACACATAAATCGCAATTGTATTGCAGGCTGATGCAAGCGCGGGATCGGGAGCCTTTGAGATGCATCCAGAATTGCACACCTATTCACGCTTCGAGCATGCCGGAACTGCCGCCACCTCCGCGGCCATCGTCGGGAGCATCAGCACCAATGTCAACATCGACCGCCGGCGCAGCGTCCGCCGGCGTACTGTCGCAAGAGCCGGCGACATCACCGACCAATCCCGGGATTGGAGCCAGTCAGACGGATCCGCCGACGCCGACGTCGAGACGCGTCCGATTCCAGGGGGATCTAGACGTCAATGATCACAGCGCGACGTCGCGCATCCCTCTCTCGCCGACAAACGACCGGAATTCGTCATCGTCGCCCTCGCCCACGTCGCTGTCGAGAACAAACGTGTCACGATCAAGAAGTCTACAGCCCGAGGAGGTTGCTAGCACGTCTTGGGGTGCGTAAAATCCTTATCTAAACGAAATAGGTTATAACGTGGCAAGAATGTAAAACAATATACTCATAAAGGCATGAACCACGAACGCCAGATATTGATATGGCTTAAATAATTATATTTTAAATTAGACCTTCAGTATTACAAGAATGTCAGAATTAGGTTAATTAAGTATAAAATTAAAATTACACAGATATTGAATATAATCTATAACGATGTTCGCAATAAATTAATAACGCTCAATAATAACTTTAATTAGATAGACGCAACGCTGTTCCATATATTTTTCAGATAGTCTATCAGATCCCGAAGTTTTAACCAAGACCAAAGTTACTTGTCTAAAAAAAAAGTATGGATTTGTATTTTGATGGATGATTTCTTTTTCTTTACACTCTTGTATGGCTTTCCAAGCCATTTATCAGGGTCATAGTACCATGCGATAAGATGGATCTTTTGATCCAGTATATGCTTCTTCGGGGAGCAGAGGCCACACGTAAATATTTCACAAAAACTTGAAATTTCCGGAGTCCTGACGCCAAAACAGCGACTTCACTCAATGAAATCAGAGACCTCAAGATTCGACTTTAGTTGAAACCGGCCACCGACCTGAAAATAAGACTTATAAATAAATATTAAAAAATTTAAAGCTTTAACATTTGCCTTAGCAGCCACATGTGTTATAGTCGTTATAGAATATGGAGGAAAAAATTTTTAATCAATCAAAGATTGATTCAACTCAGTTTTATAATTCTCATAATTAGGACAAGCTCAAAAAATATGATTAAGATTTTGAGAACAAAATCCACAGTCATAACCAAGATCATCTCGAACACCCATTTTGAACAAAAAAGCATTGGTATATAAAAATAACCCGTAATATATGTAAAGTTAATGGCCTTACTAAAATTCGACCTATTTATCTTTCATCTTTTAAAGAGACGTAAATTAATATTTAAAGACTCTTATCTATGTCAGCATCCTTGTTAAATGAATTCTGTTCTTATTTATTAAAACATATCTTTGCAGGAACGGCAGGCACGTCTAGGTCGAGAATGGACGGCGAAGATGACGACGCCGAGAGCTGTTGCTCGACGTGCAGCTCATCCAGCAGCTCGGACGAGGCCGCGGCTTACGCACTACCACCACGACGAGCCTACGGCGGCGTTCGGATTTCTTACGTGCCAAACGACGCGGTAGCGTGCGCGCGGAAACGCGCACCCGCTTCCTCGTCGTCACCAAATCAAGCTCAGAGGGACACCGAAAAATGCGTCATATCTTGATAACTCCTTCGGTACTCTACGAGTTTTGATTTCGTCGTTATGATAATTTGGAGGACTACAAACGACGTTCAAGAAAGAGTTCCTACAAAGTGGACGCACTTTTCGATATCTTTCAAAGCGTCGTCGACGCCTGCAGCATCGCAGCACGTCTTACACGCACGCCAAACATATGGACGTGTACGACAAATTGAAAATAATACTCATTTCATTTCTGTAAATATTGTGAGCTCTCTTCCAGGGCACGTGATCGTCAACGCGCCGCCACAATCCAACGATCGCGTCCCTTTATTTTTAATACCCTATTAATGTATTTGATAATAATAACGATGACAATGATAATAACCTTGTGTGTTTTGTTGTCATTGACATTTTACCTGTTACGAAATAAAAGTACAACAATAGTATGCGCTGTTATTGTGAATAGCTGCAATAGCTCACTTTTTACCTGCAACTGGCTATTCGCGTGCAGAACCGAAGCTGTTTAACGTAAGTATACCTTCTAATTATACAGCATTATCCTCTCATAGCTGTATTCGATTGTTTATCATTTATCTGTGCGATGATGCGATAATCGCTCTCGTCAAGGATCATTTTCTTAAACGGTGAAAATTCTAGGTAGCATAATCGTTGTAAATGATAAACCGCGATGCAAAACACTCATTATATAGCTTATCTCGATAGAAAGTATTCTGATACAATCAAATATATAATTATTTTTTTTCGGAATTATACAAGGCATGACATTAATTAGTTTCACTTTTCTACTTTATCAAGCAAGATTATTAGGCAATTTATATATTAAGCTCTTAAATTTTTTTAATTAATATAAAGTAAATGTTTCCTTTTTTTATTTTTTTTTTTTAATTAATATGTAGGAAAAACTAATTTAATTATATTCAAATTACTAATGCGGAAATCGCTGCATTATTTGCAATTTCTCCACCACGAATCCAGAAACAAGGAAGAATGCGACGCACTTGGTCTCAATTTGGCTGAACAAATCGATCGTTCACTTTCATATTTAGACGCGAGCGGTATGGAAATCTTCAAGTAAAAGCGGCGAGACAAGAGCGAAAATTGAAATTACGGTCGAGTGACGGAAAGAGCGAAAGTAGTAGCCCCTCTTAGGGAATCATTCACAGCGTTAGTTCTAGCTCGTGGAGGTACTCATGCTTTCTCTCATCCGGTGAGCACGTTATATGCTCTCGGCGAGATATTGCATCTGACAGCGCGTTAAAATTCTAACCATTAGGTCCTCGAATTTTAGATTTGGAATCTTTCGAAAGATGGTCATTAGCATACGCGTACTTACAATCGTGCGTGATTGATATATTGCCTAATCGACGTTTTGAATTATGTCAGTCTCGTTGAACGATAGAAACGTCCGAGACAGGATCTGATAAGGTCTTTGATTAAGATGTAACAGGTTTATCTTGTTTGTGAACAGATTACTTATTTTTCTTTTACCTATCCATTCTTCTTAAGATGAAGAAAAAAAATTGTCTTTTTTTTGTGTATCAATTGCGTTTCTAAATTTTTTTAAGAATATTGAAAAGATGTTTCTAATTATATTTACAATTTACTAAATAACAAAATAAAATTATAATTAACTACGACATTATTTAATATACATATTTTATGATTGCAAATTGAGTAACAGTATCTTAATGGATATTTTCAAAGAAATCGATGCTACAAGAAGCTGTTCTCTTAAGATTTACATATCATGAATAAGTGACTATAGATCTTGATTAAGAAGAGATTAATGGGCGATTGGAATGTAAGTATTCGTGTACACCGTAATTTCGATACAACGTAGCGAGATTTCAAGGATTTTTTATTTTGCAATATCCATAGAAGGAGCCACTTAATCTCTGTTACAGATATTTAATTCCCATATTTAATCATGACATAGACTTGCTTCATAAGCTATAAATCTTTACACTTTATACATGGCCAGAAATAAGAAAAGATAAAAATAGGTAAAAAGTAATAACGGCGGATAGTGCAGGGAATTATAGTGTAAATTGGATTACAGGACACGTATTATGGAACTGTTAAATAAAATATGAATATACTGTTGAATTAATCCTAATCGGAATTTGTTTGAGACCTTATTCTCGAAAAATATTGCTTATATATGAAAATACAGCTTTGGCCAAGAATATTAAGTACCGTATTTATTAATCGTTATTTAGTTTTAATTCAAAAATCCCGTAAATTTATTATAATGTTGATAGAAAATTGTATGCAACGTATACTAACAATAAGTATTTTCGTACATTCTTATATGCAATATTTTTCGAAAATACGGTCCTTGAACAGTTCATAATGTACATGTCCAGTTAAAGTCTGGATTCCAAAAAATAAAGAAAGTATTCGGCGTAATATATTAGATGTTAAACTTAATTCCTGCCGTTTTTCGTCTCCAAAATTGATTTGTTTCGAAGGGAAG